AAGACTTCTAATTTATTCTTCAGAAAATAAACCCACACCTTCCTTGCAGAATCATCGATGAAGGTAACATAATATAATGAGCCTGCAAGAGATGAAACTGGAGATGGTCCCCATACATCAGTATGAACCAACTCTAACTTTTCAGCCTTGGGTGTCTTACCAATCTTTGCAAAGCTGACTTTCTTTTGTTTGCCAAAAATGCAATCCTCACATAGTCCGACATCTACATTCTTTAGATCCGGCAGCTTACCTTTTGACAAAAGTGTGTTCATCCCTTTCTCGCTCATATGACCAAGCCTTTGGTGCCATAGGTTTGATTTTCCATCAGCATCTGCTGTAGCAATGATATTCTCTAAATTTGAGGTTACATACAGAGTACCAGTCTTCTTACCACGAGCAATGACGAGTGCTCCTTTGGTGATCTTCCATTCACAACCTGAAAAAGTTGTGTTATATCCTTCTCCATCAAGCTGTCTACAAAAATCAAATTTCTTTTAAGGCCAGGAATATGTCTTACTCCTTTCAACGTCCAGGTGGTCTGGTTTGTCAACTTTAATCGAATGTCTCATTTTCCGACAATCTTCAAGGTTTCATCATCAGCTAGATGGACATTCCCAAAATCACCACTGACATAGTTCTCCATGATTTCTCGGCATGAGGTGGAGTGGAAAGATGCCCCTGAATCCAAGATCCATGATTCAATCAGACTGTTGACGCTTAGAATCATGGCATCACTTGTTTCCTATGTCATGCTGGCAGATTCTTGTGCGCCGATATCTTTCTTCAGTGCTCGACAATCTCTTTTAAAGTGACCATTCTTGCCACAATTATAATATGTAAAATCTTTCTTTCATGTTCTTGATTTGCCCTTTCTGGATTTTGATCTGCCACGATTTGAATTTCTTTTTGAAGTTCTCCCTCTGGACTCCGTATATAAGGCTGAAGAGGTTGATGCTTCACCCGATTCTCTCCGTCGAATTGCATCGCTCAGTACCAAATCCCGAACATCGTCGAATTTCAATTTGTTGTTTCCTGACGAGCTGCTGACGGCTGTAACAGTAGCATTCCAACTGTCTGGTAGAGATGATAAGAGAATTAAAGTTCGAACTTCATCATCGAATTCAATTTCCACTGAACTCTACTGGGTTGTATTGTGTTGAGTTCATTTAGGTGTTGAGCCACTGATGCCCCTTCCGTCATCCGCAAATTGAATAATCGCCTCATCAAATGAACTTTGTTTGAGGCCGATGGCTTCTCATACATACTGGAAAGAGCCGTCATAAGACCCGTCGTGGTCTTTTTCTTTGCTATGTTGAAAGCAACATTGCAGGACAATGTCAGTCGGATAACTTCGAGGGCTTGTCTGTCGAGAAGAGCCCAGTTTTCATTCTTTATGCCCTCTAGTTGTTTTCCTGATAGAGATTGATATAAATTTTTCTGGAATAAAAAATCTTCAATCTGCGTCTTCTAAAAGCCAAAGTCTACACCATCGAACTTTTCAATTTTCACATTCCCTTCGTATGCAGCCATCGCTCCCACTCGAATCTGGTTTCGTTTGGATCGTTTCTGACAATTCTTGCGAACCACCGTGAATTATAACACATATGTCGACAAATTCGTATCGCCGACAAAATTTTTACTGTTCACAAAAGTCACTATTCACGTGAATAGTAATGAATAGTAATCTCGCAAAAATTTGACAAAATTCACAACCAAAAGCTCTGATACTAGTTGTTGGGAAATTAAATGAGCAACGAGTAATTTCCCTATAACCAGATTAGTGAGAATGCAAAATAAAAGCGGAAAAATAATACCCGAAATTGATAACGGAGTTCAGCCAATTTTCTTACATCTCCGAACTGCTGCAGACCTTTTACTAAGAGAGAAAATTTACAAGTGTTTACAAAACACTCACTACTCACAAGAAAACTCTCTAGTGTTGGGAGAAAGAAATGATTTGGGATGATTTAGAAGCTAAATCAGTAAGGGTATTTATAATTGAAGCTAAGGGACTAATCTTTGAAAATACCTTAAATTCTAGTGACTAAAAATAATTTTCTCATGTTATTTAGCAGCCCATGTTTTAGCAGCCCCTTTTTTTAATTCCAAGCCGCCGGCTGTCATTGTATTTTGACCAACATAGTAAGTGTTGAAATAGATTTAATTTTGCATGTTATTTGAGTAAAAACTAAAAGGGACAGATTAAATCAATATGAGAGATTTCAGGTAGCAATCTTTGAGACTAATTTGAATATATGAAAAGTACTGTGTCTTCAATTCATTACTGTAGAGCAGTACATAATGGGCACTCCTCTTTTATCTAAACCAGATTTCCATCACATTTTCATTTATCTTACTAGAGAAACTTGAAGGCGATCTTTAAGACTTTAGCCTCAAACAAGGTAAAAAAGACTCGATGCCTCAAAAACTTGTAGGTGTTTTTTTATTGTTTCTATGTTGTCATCAACCCGGCCCTGCAATAAGAAAACATCTCATTTCAAAAAAATGGTTGTCACTTGATTCAAATTAAGCCATAAAAGAATCTATATGTACCTGATTACGATTCAACACACGTTTCACCATTTCTTCCTCTGGGCAATCAAAGAAAAGTACAACATTTGGCTCTACACCAATCTGCAAATGTCATTAGGAAAGGTATATTAATAATAAAAAATATCATTTTGTTGAGACGGTTTTCCGCCCGATGAAAACAAGTGTCGTTGCTTTCTAAATCTCGTATCGAAAAAGTAAGTGTTTTTCTTCTGGTATAAGATAAAACACAATTTGTGGAGTCGCCACCAATCATTTTATCGAGGTGTGATTGGTCACAAAAAATGCTATGTTATTTTAATAAAATTTATAAAAATAATATTAAAATAACACAAAAAGAGTATGTTTACCAGAAAATGAGTTCGGGAGTCGGTTACGTGTGAGGAATGATTAGCACCCCACAACGCCCAAAATTAGTACCTTTGTTTATTAATTTAATGTCTTTGCAATAAATTAACAAATTTGTATTTAATTTCAATTTATGATCCCATAAAAATAATAATATAACCCAATTACATATAATAATTTTAATGATTTAATCAAGAAAATATAAAAATTAAGGTTACTATTATAACTATTTAATATGCAAAGTACTATAGTTGTAAATAATCCTCTATGAATATATTAAAAATATAAAAAATTAAGAGAATAAAATACATATTTCAAGAAAACAAATAAAAAAAATGAATCATTATAATTAATTAAAATAAAAAACATGGGTTTAATAAAATATTTGTGGACACAACTTAGTGAAATGTATTTTAAAATTGAACACCATAATTATAATGCTCCACTTTCTAATTTTTATTATTACTTTTAATAATGATATTATTTTATGTCATTATATTATTTTATTTTAAGCACTAATATATATTATTAGGATACACATTTATGACTAAAATAAAAAATAATAAATAAGTACTAGATTTAAAATATTTAAACATAAAAGGTAATAATAAAATAAAAATTACAATTAAATAAAACCAAAATAATAATATAGGATTAAATTAAAAAATATATAAATTATTTGTCAATATTCGAAATATTATAATATATATATATATATATTAAAAGTGTAAATAATCCTAAAATAATATTTAAATATATGTAAATATACGGTAGTGACTAAAATAAAAATAAATAAAATACAAAGACAAAATTAAAAGATATAGAAACCTGATTTTGGTGACTATAATGGAAGATTACATAATACAGAGACCACGGACGGGCTAAACCAATTCTGAAATTACACAGTCACTCCTCCCCAAAACGACGTAGTTTTGATAAGTGTATAAATAGACCAATATAAGCCTAAAATCATTAATTCTTCTCATTTGTAATTTTTTGCTCTCAATCTAAAGCTCTGTTCACCGGCCGACAACCGACCAGTCACTATTCCGACCACCGGCCGATCACTATTCATGCCACCGGTCACTATTTCAATTACTATTTACGATAGGAAAAAATAAAAATAGCTCAAATCGTAGATCGACTCACCCTAAACCCAAAACCACCCTCTTTTTTTCCTAAAAAACTTCAAAACGGCCTAAATCTAAGATTTTACCTTCGGTAAAACAACTTTTTCGACGACGTTTGGGCTTCGACGAAGGTAAGATCTCCTTTATTTTCTTCTCCTTTTGGTTTGTTTGTTACTTGTTGGTGTTGTTTGCTCTCTTCCCGTTGCCGTTGTTTTCTTTTTTTTTCTTTGTAGGATCGACTTTTTATAGGCTTTGGAAGGCTTCAGATAACCGTTCATTTTGGTGAGTCACCGGATCTACTATGGTGACTCACCATAGGGCGAGGTGTGCGGCTCTCCTACGACTTATGGAGTCTTCTGGTGAAATCTGATGGTGACAGCGGCGGTGGTGAGGTGTCACTGGAGGTGGCGGCCTCGTGGCAATCACCGGTTGGGGCACCTGGAGGCAGCAACCAGAATAACTTTAGGGTTGATAAACCCTAAAGTTTCTGCTAGATTAGATCTATAAAATGGGCCTCTGTATTTGTAAACGGGCCTCCGAGATTGGGCCTTTATTTTTATTGTATTATTTGTAATAATAATATAATTATTATAATAATAATATTATAAAAATACGGGACGAAAATGATTGTCGACACATTTCTCAAGCATCCCCACATATAACATTTTCAGTGAGTTTCTTCAACCCAACAAAAGCAAACAATTTTAGGAAACACATAAGTAAACAGCTTTGGAAAGCAGAAGCCAGATTGTCAATTTTCTTTTACACTTCTTCACATAAGAAGTCAATAGAGCTGAAAAGAAGTGAGAAGCTTACAATTCGTTCAAATGATACTCGATTCTCCTCAGTAAGCGGGAAGCCATCAATGAGAAATTTGTCATTCTCACTTGATTCCATCTCCTTTTGTATCAGTTTGACTGTCACCTGTGACGGGACAATTTTTCCTTCTTTAATTGTGCTAAGAATCATGGCAGTGAAATCAAAGATATATCATCAGAGGATATGGATTAGTATAGTCACTTAACACTATGATCTATAAACAATGATGAGAAATTATTACCCATCTGCACTGTTAGAAGCTATTTCCCTTCTTAACAAATCTCCAGCACTCAAATGTGTGAACCCAAAGGTCTCAACAATCTTTATACACCGAGTACCTTTTCCACTACCAGGACCACCTGAAAATTGAAAGGCATGCGAGGAAAAATCTGAATAAATGATAAGCTCCAGAAAAATATCTACAAAGCAAACAATGGTATTTAAACACGTCATACAAGCAGCATCACACGTACTGTACCCAAAGCCTGGAGTCACAATTGTTTCTTAATGAAAGTAGGGTACAAAATGCTCTCCAAACAAGTACAGAGGCTATAGCTTTCAACATCACTGTTCCCTTTAATGTAGCAATAGACATTTTGATCTATCAAAAGGTTTGTAGAAGCGGTATATCAACCTCAAGCATCATTGTGTGCTAACCATACAATAAAATGACAACCAGCATATAATATAATTAACCAAATTATATAATGATTTTGTGGATCACGTAACCCATGTTGTTTTACTGCACTTAAAAAGCCAAATGAATCAAGCTAGATAAGAAGATACCTCTCCTTTAGTTAAGCAAAGAATCAAGTATACTGGTTGTGTATAGTTTGCAACTTTAATTTTCTTTTATTTTCCAAAAAAAAGGAATCTAAAATATGAATATATCAAAACAAGAGAAAGAAACTTTAAAGAGAAATAGGATTTAAAATGGTGCAGAACACCCCAAGCTTCCAAAGCCAAAACAAAAGGTATATTGCATAAATGTGATTTTGAGTGCTAGTGTTTAAAGGAAGGACAGGGCATCGTTTACTCAAGCTAGCAATGCACAAGATTTACCTAGGACAAAAGTTATGAATGGAGTTTTCTCTTTGGGGGCTATAACACCTTTTGCCTGCATGCAGATAATGATGAACCAACAAAAAGGAACTCATTTTAAGAATATATCACGGAATATTTACTATTGCAAAATTAAGAAAACCTACAAAAGTAAAAAGAATTAAAATGTAAATAAATTTGAAACGACTGAAAAAGTTGAAATCCTGGGGGAATAAGATTGGTATACTGAATTCTAAACTAATTATATTAACGGCTTTAATCCAGAACTCGGGTTTAAACTATCCATACCAAACATAAGGTAGTTTGATACAAGACTAACAACAGGAAACATTTTAAATGCTTTGGCATCATCTCCATGATCCATAGGAGATATTTATGTTGATCTATCCAAACTAGAAGAAGGTTTCTAAAGTAAGCCGCAAAGCAACAGGAAGCCACATTTCCCCTCCATAAAGAAAGGAAAGAAAAATAACAGAACATCCTTAAATCAACCCATAAAGTAAGGGCCCTTTTTTAGGGTGAAGAATCGGTCAGTTTTAAAGATTCAACCTGTCCAAGCCTAACATAATTTGAAATGCAACAAAACACAATCATCAGTTAGACAATCGAATTACAATACCGGTTGGGCGATCCCCGTAGTTAATGATTCCCAAGTATTCAGTCTGGAGGCTGACTATAAAACAGCAACAACCAAACGCTTGTTTAAAATGATGAATAAGTAAACCAAAAGCAGAGATGAACAAAAGTGATATGAAATAGTATTGATTTTGAATTGAAAATTGGAAGAGGTGGAAGAGAATCGGAACCTGGGCAACGAAGGAGGAGCTGGAGGATGAGATGAAAGAAGAAAGCGAAGCCACGCGCCTCCACATCTCCTTTAGACTTGTCTAGTCTTTAGCTATTTCTCTGTTGTATGTTGGGTTTTGAGCTATAAGTCAGGAGGAACGAAGATGAGCTGGGTTGATTGTCGTTACTGTAAGTTTGTAAGTGAGACATTACGTCGAACAAGTAACGTGCTCCAGGAGAGTAGTGTTTCGCAGAGCTGCAAATAGTGATGGGACAATCAGAATGTGAGCAGTGACGTGGAGTAGCCCATTGTCCTGCATTGAAATGGGGACGTGCGAACGGATGAAGATCCCTTGTTTGAAAATAACTCGATGCCCACTATCAGTTTCTTTTTCGTTAAAAGGGACAAAGATTTGAGATTCTGCTTCTAGTGAACAACTTCACTCCTTAATCTTGTAGTCATTGTATAAGTTTCTTTAGTTCAACAAAAAATCTTACAGTAATTGTAGTATAATCATATATATTTTTTAAGATAAAAGTACGGAATTTGATCCTCCTCCAATTCGAGTTTGGTCAGCAGAAAATATTATTAACGGTGATGATAGGCTAAACGCTCGAGATAATGTTCTCGAACAAATTATTTCACGAGATAATATCCTCTCAAGATTAATTGTTTAAATAAGATGAAATCTACAGTGTTGGCCGTAGGTCGCCATGTCTTCCGGGCGACCTATTATGTGGCCAGCCATGCACGTCCCCAAGCATAGGTCGCCAAGTACTCCGGGCGACCTTGTAGGTCATCATGCATTCCCTCCTGCTCCTCGCATGATTCCTCTTGCCTTCAGATGGCCTCGGATGCTCTCGCATAGCTCGCTCGAATGGCCTCGGATGCCCAGCGTGTTGGGACGTGCATGACACATGCAATCTCTCTCATAGTTCGCCGGGAAGACATGACAACCTAGTAGGTCGTCCGGATGGCATGACGACCTAGTAGGTCGCCCGGATGTCATGGCGACCTACGACCAACTGTAGATTTCACCCTATTTGAGCAATTAATTTGAGGAGTACATTATCTCGTGAATTAATTTGTTCGAGAACATTATCTCGAAAGTTTTGCCGTATTATATTTATGATATATGCATTATTGTTTTAGGGTAAATTGTACTATTAACTACCTAATTATTTAATCTTTTTTACTTTTATCATTAATCTTTTAATTTTATCAATCATATCACCTAATTATTTAATTGTATTCAATCAAGTCACTAATAATTAATATTTGACAGAGATATTGACTCATTTATTCAGGATGTAACACTAGTTGATATATGATTGGAGTGAAAAATAAAAGAGAAATATATTGCACTTTAGGAGATTTAAAACCATGTCACCTAGGAGACAAGGTAGATGCCAACATTTTTATCCAAAAATACCCAAATATTATAATATTATCTGTCAGACACCGTTTCTCCTAATTTTATCAATCTAAAATCCTTTATAATAAGACACGTTACGTGAAACATACCTTTGTTTAAGTGGATCGATGGCACGTTCCTTGAAGCGCGCCTTCAAGGGAAAATAACGGGCACGATTCAAGGGGCACGCCTTCCAGGGTATTATTGCCACATCAGATTCCCTAAAAGCATGCTAAAAAAATATGCTTTAAAAAATTAAAAAATAAAACTATAGAGACTAACATCATAATTTAATATATATTAGTTCCGTGAGTTGGAGAGCATAACGAAGTTAGTTTATATAGGCTTATTGGAGTGTTTAGATTATGTTTCTTAACAATGTATGATAAAAACTAAAAGGTGTATTCCTAACTTGTTTTCTTATCATGTGAAAATCAAATGCTTTGTCAGCTTAAACTCTGGTAACATTTTATGCGCAACCTAAAATATTAATAATATTCATAACATTTACTATTTATAACTTAATTTCTTACCATTTATAACATTTTAGGTGCAACCTATTATGTTACAACATTGATAACTTTTTCGGTTATGCTTTATAACATTTTATTTTTTGCTATTAACCTGTAAAATAGATTTCCCGGTTACACCATTTTAAGTTATTTTAAAATAGTTACAACTCAATATATTACATATAAGTTAACATTTCCAGTTGCGCTAAACCAGTATTGTTTATGTTTTTTTTTTAAATTTTCGGTTGCACCCTTTTTTAACCTTATATTAGTATGTATTTTCTTAGACAACTCCACATATTTGGTATGAAAACTGGGCATTTGAAACTGCAAACATAATGTGTGCTTATAAACAAAAAAAAACAGTGGCTTCAATTCTATATTTCTATTTTGTGTTGCTTAATTTTCTCAGGCTGCCATTGTCATATATCATGGGCAGTTAGAGAGAGAGAGTTTAGGGTTCTAGGGCTTCTAGAGTGAGTGAGTGAGAGTTTAGGGTTCTAGGGCTTCCAGCATAGCATCATCCCGTGTTTTAATACTATAACACAATATATTGCATCGTTATTATTATCTATAAACACCCACAACTAATAAAAACAAAAACCATACATGTTTTTCTGTAGCCAAAATTTGAATTAAATAAAAATAAAATAAAATGCAAAGAGATCGAAAATTTGGACAATGCATAACACGGTTCTTTCCAATTTATTTTCTTGCAATCCAGAATCTCAAATATCAAACAAGAACCCAATCTGTTAGATTTTCAACCCTGGCCTAATGCTGGAATTGTTGAAGCTCGAATAATTGGAATTGACAGAAACTTGAAGGTGAACTGAAATCATCCCTCCTCATCCATAGTAGGTTCTGGTCCCGAGGAGGAGGAGCTCCAAGGTACCCCGATAATATATCGAGGTTCTTCACAATTTATTTTCCTGCAAAACTCTCATTTGAATCAGAACAAGAACAAAATCTGTTGCCTTTTCAATCCTGGCATCACCTAAAGCTGGAATTGAAGGTTATGGAAAGCTTTGGAAAAAAGTTGAATAACTGAAATTGGCAGCAAATCGAAGGTGACTGAAATCATCGCTCCTCATCCAGAACCGGGTCCCTGGGAGCAGCAGGTCCAATGTACCCTGATACAGTCCCACCGACAATGGAAGCATAGCTCTTCAAGAAAGAGGCACCGCGTGTCAACCACCCAGTCTCTTGCACTTCATTTACTTCCATCATGATCTTTCTTTCTTCCTCAGCAAGTTTGTCAGCCCACCTATTAGCCATGAAAATCTTCACAGCATCAACCCCTTGCTTTACTATTTCCTTAGGTGGAGCAACAAGAGGATTTTGATCCAAATTCAGTTTCGTCAGCTTGTCGAGCCGGCCAAATGAATCAGGAAGAGCATTGATTTGGTTGTTACTGATATCAAGCTCTTTAAGATTGATCAATTCACCAAGTGACTCAGGAAGTTCTGTCATATCAGAGAAATTGCACCTCACGTTGAGTACCTCAAGATTTGTCAATCTCCCAATTTCATCAGGAAGACCACGGAGTTCATTGAAGTGGGCATCCAGAAAACGCAAAGACCTCATCTTACAAATAGAAGTCGGAAGGGACCGGAGTTTGTTCAAATAAACTGACAGCCTTTGTAGATTCCCCAATTCATTCCCAAGTTTAGTTGGCAAGTACAAGAGGGAGTTGAAGCTCACATCCAACTCTATCAAAGACCTGAATTGATGAAAATCAAGTTTTACCGATGACAATGACCAAGAGCAATGTGTTTTATAATGATAAACTACAATTACCTGCATTGACAAATGGAATCAGGTAAGGCATTCAATTTATTTCCCGAGACATCCAATATTTTCAAGTTTGGAAGCAATCCAATTGAATCTGGCATAGACTGCAGAAGATTCGAGGAAACATTAAGCTCCTCAAGTTTTTGTAATCCAGCAAGCGAGTCAGGAATAACCTGAACCATCATATGGATTAGTAAGATTCAAAGATCATAAAAAGACTCAAGACCAAGATTTAATATGCCTATACAAGAACAACTCAATTCCTTATCCCTTTTAATTACAGAATAGGAAAACAGAGACAAGCCTTATGCATCGTTAAAGTTAATTGTTATCCGACAAAAAACATATAGTCTTAATCAAGTTCAAAGTTTCATCTCTGATGTCTCCTAGCAATTGTCAGAACATAATAATGTAGGACTATTTCCTTAGAATATTGAATCCACAAGTCCGGTTCATTATTTACTATGGGAGATGGACTAAAGCATATATCATTGGAAAGCAATATGGTTAGTAAGGGGTTACGGGAGTATGGACAATAATATAACAGGGAAGCTGAAAATAAAAAGAAAAAAACTACTTATTGGTGTTGCAAGCGCTAGCGGTTCCAAGTAGAAGGAGATGACATATTATTGTTATTCCTTAAAGTTTTTCTAAGCAAAACAAGCACAAAAATACTACTTTGGGGGATGAGAGGGAAGGGTTAACAATAAGGTTTAAACCTTGTACGTGGTGCCAACAGATTTGGAATATAGTCTGAATCAAGTTCAAACTTCAAAGAATCATTTCCAATGTTTACACATTAATCGTCAAAACATAATAGCGAAAGATTGTTTCCTAGCAGTATAGAATCCACAAGTCCAGTTGATTATTTACAAGGGGCCGTGAAATAAAGCATATATCACTAGAATGCAATAATAATTGTTAAGGGGTTAAGGGAGTCGATAGTCGATACCAATTCTGCCAAGACGCAATCTATTCACAGTATCAACAAATGAACAATATAACAGGGAAACTAAAAATATAAAACTTTACACCATTGATCACTAATAACTCCATCAGCATGTTAGCTATTGTTATTCCTTAAAGGCAAGAGTTATCAACTTTGTTAAAAGAAAACAAATATCCCTGAATGCTTGTATTGTTGGTTGTGTTATTTACGGTTCACTCTTATTATCCGATCACATTCTCAATTCAATAAAGTATCAACGCCGTAAAGAAGAAATCAAAGCAAGAAGAAGAAAGGAAAGAACAGACCTCAAGCTGATTACCGGAAAGATTAAGGGAAAGCAAACCACTAATCTTCCCAAAGGCTTCAGGCAAAAACCTGAGCTTCCTTCCACACAAATCAACTCTTTCTAATCCTTTCCCTTGAACTTCCTCCAGTATCCCAACAACCTCCGGATTGGTGTCCTCAATTTGCTCCAAATTCTCCTCCACTTCTCCCGCCTTCTCATAAATCATAACCAGCCTCTCCTCCGCTTGCTTCACAAGCTTGCCGTACGCCTCGTGCATTTCGTCCAATTGCAATATCGATTTGTGCATAGATTTTTCTTTTTCGGCTTCTTGTCGAATCTGTTGCTCTTTCTCGGCCAAGTTGGCGCGCCACTCGGCTTGATGCACCTCGGCGGGTCGAGGAGAGAGGACCAGTTCTCCCAGGGATTCGGAAAGGCCACACTCGATCTCTGCGAGCTTGGAGCGAGCCATGTCGACGGATTCGTGGTCAGGTCGTGGGCCGAGGGTCTGGAGAACGGAGCGGGTTTCGGCGACGTCGAAGATAGCATGGGTCATGGCAGCGATGACTTTGGGATTGGAAAGGCTGGGCATCTCTTCAACGATTGAGGGCAGATTGGCGCAGAAGGAGGTGTCGGTCGGCGGTGGTTGTTCGAGGTCGACGAGAGGATCGTAGTGAGGTTTGGAGGATGAGATGGAAGGGAGGCGGGACAAAACGTAGGAAAGGAGCGCGTATTTTTTCAGGTGGGAATCCATTTTCAGGGACGGAGGATTTGGGGAAGGGGAAAAAACCAATGCCAGTTTTGGCTTTCAGAAGCTTTACACAGTGAAGATGGGAGATTCCCAAGTTTTCACTTCTCAGCTGTTTTCATATGTTTTCTTCTTCAATATCATCACCGTTAACCAAATACCATTTTTTTATATATAATTTGAATGCCGATGAAAAAATAATTTTTATTTTTTAATATTTTGTAACGTAAAGTACACAAATCATTCTCAATTATATGGTGAATTTTTTTTGAATCCCTCAACTATTAATAATTATAGAATGATCTCCTGACTATAATACATTCCTTTATTGAGTCCATCAACTATTAAAAGTTATAAAATTGTTATTCGACTATTCATATGTTCCCAAATCATCATTTTTCATTAAAAAATTGACGACAGTCTGAGCTGAACATTAATATGCTAACATTGATATGATAAAATATGATCCCAAAATCTTAAACGACTATCATATCTCAGTCATCATGTTAAGTTCAACTCAAACGACATCCAATTTTTAACGAAAAAGGAAGAGTTTGAAACATATGAATAGTTGGGTTACCATTTTATAACTTTTAATAGTCACATGACTCAACAAAATATTGCCCTGTAGTCGGAGGACCATTTTTAACTTTTAATAGTCGAGAAACTTAATAAAATAGTACCCAATGGTCGGGGGACCATTTGTGTGCTTTACCGCATTTTTTATTAGACATATTAGTATAATACTGGGTCATGTCAGTTTTTTCAAATTAAAAATTATAATAAACTCGTGTGATAACAGGATGAGAGTATAATGGATAAAGTTTTCGAGTACCAATTGATAATTGAGTTATAGTACAAGGGCAAAACATTTGTTAAAAATAAATTTCCCACGCTGATTGTTTTAGGGTAAACTATAAATTTAGTATCTAAACTATTATGTTTGATCTATTTTGATATCTCAATTTTTATTTTTTTCAAAATCATACCTAATATTTTTTATTGAGAAAATCGCCTCAGTGACCAAAAATGCCTTATAATATACGATTTTAACCAACTTTTTTTTGATTTGCCAAAATGACCAACAAAATCGCAACGCGAAATAAAAATCGCAACGCGATCCCCAGAATCGCAAACCAGTTTCCAAAATCGCAACGCGATTCTTGACAATCGCAATGCGATAGTACAAATTCGCATTGCGATTTTACAGAATCGCAACGCGAATATGAAAATCGCAACGCGAACACATAAATCGCAACGCGAACACATAAATCGCAACGCGTATCCGTAAATCGCAACGTGTATCCGTAAATCGCAACGTGTATCCGTAAATCGCAATGCGTATCCGTATATCGCAACGCGTATCCGTAAATCGCAACGATAATCAGTAAATCGCAACGAGAATCTGTAAATCGCAACGATAATCCGTAAATCGCAACGAGAATCTGTAAATCACAACACTGAAATTTTGGGTATATAACTACACAACAGCAGCAAATCATAAACTAAATCCCTAAATCGCAACTCATTCCATCTCCATCTATCACTCTATCCGGCGACATCCGTTCCTATATCCAACGACATCCTTCCCAATCCGGCAACAGGTTTTAGTTTCGCAGCTCGTCTGTTTAGTAAATTAATTTACAACCATGAAATCATCTAATGTTGATCATGTTTGGATAGATTTGTGTTTTGGAGGGTCATGGGATAATGTTCATGGTGTTTTACAATATATGCCTTTACCCATGAATCTTCAACTAAAATTGTCTTTACAAAAGTTAACTTATGAAACTCTAATGCTACGTGTTTCAAATAAATTGAATTTAGAGCCCCTAAGTGGATTTAGGCTATCTTATCAGAGAAATGGTAAAGTTTATTTGTTAACCGACAATGAAGATGTTGAACGATTCATTGCTTACATTAGTGTTTCACAAGATGATGTTACATTGTATGTTGTTGAACCTAGAAGTAGTATTGTTGGGTCAGTAGCGGGTAGTAATCAACTAAGTTTTTCTCAAAACCCACAACCTTTCTCTAATCCAAATCCCAATCAACTTTCAGCACCAAATTCCGGTTTTTGTATTGACCAGTTAGACGATGATGAGCCAACAGAAAAAATTGTGAGTACTAGTCAGTATTCTAAATTTGGTCTTGGTCAATATCCGGACTTTGATATTGGTCAATACACGGATTTTGATGATGTTTCAGAAGAAGAAACAGACCCTGCGTGTAATGATTTTGATATTGGTCAATACCCGAATTTTGATGATGAAACAGCCGTTGTCGAAGAATGTATTGTTGATGATAATGAGGAGGAAGTTACGATTGTGAATGAACATGTTGAACATCCATTCTGTAATTCATATAATCCTGAAGAAGAAAAAGAAGAAGAAAAAGTCCCCGAAGAAAAGAAAATGCCACGGGCGTATAACTGGAATATGCCAGAATTACTTCAGATACCGGAAGAAGAGTTGGTAAAGAAAGCAGTTGATTGTTACACAAAAGTTATTCGTATCAAGAAAGATGATTGTTTTGATACAAAGGAAGACTTGAAGATAGCTTTGTATACGAAATGTGTGGAAGATGGCTATCAACTAAAAGTTAACAAATCAAGCAAAGATCGTTTCGAAACAAGGTGTATGATTGACAAAAACTGTACGTGGCGTATGATTGCAAAGAGAATAAAAGATTGCGAAGTGTTTCAAGTTAGGACTTTTATTGATAAACATACATGTTCAAGAACCCAAGTTTTTCCTCACCATAGACAGGCAAACAAAAAGGTGTTGGGTGGTTTTCTGGCTGAGTTAATGTTTTTGAATGGCAGGGTATATCGGGGACATGAAATTATGACTGACATGAATGCTCGATTCAAGATTAGTATATCATATTCTCAAGCTTGGAGAGCCAAATGTTATGCCTTGGAATTGTTGAGGGGGTCGCCAGAAGCATCGTTTGCCCAACTGCCGGCTTATTGTCACAATTTAAAGCTGAAAAATCCTGGGTCGGTAACTCATATCAAAACAGATAGAGATGGACACTTTGAGTTGCTGTTTATCGCCATTAGTGCTACGGTTAGTAAATCAATATAATTTTGTTGACTCATTTTTGTTAGTTACATGCATTTCACATTTAAATGATTATATTTCTTGTGTATATTATTTTGTAGATTCGTTCGTTTATTACTTGCATGCGCCCAGTTATTATAGTTGACGGAGCACATTTGAAAGGTCGATACCTTGGAGTAAACTTATTAGCAGTAGCCATGGATGCTAACAATGGGATATTGCCAATAGCTTACGGGGTTAGCAAATCTGAAACCTCTTATTCATGGACATGGTTTATGGGGCATCTTAGGGATTGCATAGGTCCTATTAGCAATCTGACAATCATATCCGATAGGGCAAACTCAATTGACAACGCTGTTAGAAGGTGTTTCCCAGATGCTTTTCATGGACTTTGTGGTGTTCATTTGTATAGAAATCTAAAATCAAGGTCTGCTGGTATAAAAAAGCACAAATGGACATACTGGAAGGCTGTAAAAGCTTATCGGGAAGTGGATTTCAATAAGCATATAAATTGTTTAAGACGTGTTTTGCCTCAGTGTGCTCAAACACTAGATGATGTCGGGTTTGAAAGATGGTCAAGAGTACATCAACTTGGAGCAAGATATGGTTTCATGACGTCTAATAGTGCAGAATCAATCAACGCTCTAAGTCGTCATTCCCGGAAATTACCCATTACTATGTTAATGGAGTTTTTTCGAGCCTCTATTCAACAGTGGTACTACAAGAAAAGAAACCATGCATGTATTATTTCTTTGAATTCGTAACTTATCATATTTATATATTTTACTAAGTATTGTTTATTTAAATTTACAGGAACATTGGAACATCGTGTTACACCATGGACTGAAAAAAAGATAACGAAACGTGTTGTGAAGTCAACGTCATGGAGAGTTGAACCATGTTCAAACACTTTGTTTCAAGTACTGGATAATAACTTAAATGGGCTAGTCGATCTAAATGCAAAGACGTGTAGTTGTATGAAATGGCAAACATCTGGTTATCCGTGTGGCCATGTTATAAAAGTTGCTCTTCATCTAAACCAAGATGATTCAAGCGCATACGCTATGGATTGCTACACTACAGAAGTTTATCGACAGACTTATGCCGAGATTGTCTACCCTATTCCACATCCTTATGAGTGGGACATACCAGATGACTTACAAACAGTTTTGCCACCAGCCATGGACAGAAGGCTACCTGGCCGACCAAAAAGTCACGATCGTATACCGTCTAAGGGTGAAGAGAAGAAGAGATCGATATGTAGTCGGTGCAAGGAAAGTGGTCATACAAGGTTGACATGTGGATCACCAGTGCCATCAAAATCATCTTTTCCTCTACCAAAATATGGATCCTCATCAAAATCCAAAGCTCATATGGTGTCAAGCAAAAGGCAATCATCTTTAAAATCCCAATCACAATTGGCTTCACCTTTTGGGACTGTTAATTTAGGTGATTTTTAAATGCAAACGTTGTATTATGTGGATTTTATGTGTGAACTTTTAACATTTTCAGTTGAATTAATGACTCAGGCCAACCATTTTGACTAAACCAACTCTTGTTATTCAGTTGTTATCACTTATTAGGCATGCATTTGACTATCGCAACACGGAAATTACAATCGCAACGAGAGAATCGCAATGCGAAATGAAAATCCCAACAAGAAAATCGCAATGCGGAAATGAAAATTGCAATGCGAAATGAAAATCGCAACGTGAGAATCGCAATGCGGAAATGAAAATCGCAATGCGAAATGAAAATCGCAACGAGAGAATCGCAATGCGAAATGAAAATCGCAATGCGAAATGAAAATCGCAACGAGAGAATCGCAATGCGGAAATGAAAATCGCAATGCGAAATGAAAATCGCATTGCGATTCTCTCGTTGCGATTTTCATTTCCGCATTGCGATTTTCATTTCGCATTGCGATTCTCTCGTTGCGATTTTCATTTCGCATTGCGATTTTCATTTCAACATAATGCAGATTGAAATCAACAAAATCAACCATTACATTTCAACCAATTAAACAAGCACAAATAAGAATTATGTTCGCATCAATTACACAAATCAACTTTTACAAATCATCTTTTACAAATCAATTAAACAATAAAAAAATAAGCAATAATTCTTATTTCCAATCATCTACTATTAAATCAACTTTTACAAATCAATTAAACAATAAAAAAACAATCAATTAAACTATTGAATCAACTTTTGCAGCCATACATCATTTTCACGCAGTTCACTTCTGAGATTAACCTGCAGAAACCAAACATTTGCTCAAACAACACTTTATACACATCTAAAACCTACAAACAGCAAATTATTCTATTCTAGGTACTTAACCAAACATTTTCAAACCAAACAATATAATAACAAAATTAGTAATTGTTAAATAATTAATTATAATTTTAGAAACATTATATATAAATTCTTACCTTAAAGGCCCAAACAAAGCCTGACAAAGTGTATTTCGACCCATCGCCACGCAAACTTTTGCGGTCATCAAAGGCAGTAGACAACTTAGTCCAGGTAGCTTTCCATATATACGAACCCCACGGAAACAGATTTCATGCATTCAGGTCCTCTACCAATATTATTAGCTCCCGAGGAATAGGTTGTCTGGCCTCTCTGCCTAAAAAGCCGGCATACACAAGTAGTAGAAGGCATACTCGGACAACATCGACGTCATCCATCCGAGTGAAACCAGCTTTCTTATTAAACAATTTCTTCAGGTCGTCGACGTGTAGGTTTGGCTTCTCCATTGACTCATCCGGAAACACCCGGGATAACCATGATGGGCGGGCGATATGACGAGTGTACCGGCCTACATCATCGTGTCCGAATCGTAGACCAGTGATTAAGCAGAACTCCTTCCGCCCAAAACAAGTATACGCTGGTTGAAAATGAAACCATATCTCTTCCTCACCACGTTGTATACTGTCGGGTAGATTTGATGTCATGGTCTGAAGCCACAAATGGGTCAAATTAGCATCTCCACCCGGATGATGTACTCTCAGCCATGGCCCGAAGCAGGTTTCCTCAAACAATTGTCTTTGTGCAGGTGAAAGCTTCGAAGCAATTGTAGTGGCTAGGCTAACTTTATTCCTTAATGTCAATGAAGCCGAAAAAAATTTCTACAAAAACAATAAACATACCAAGTTAGATATACCAAAAACTACACTGTGAAGATATACCAAAAACAATAAACATAAAAAGTAGTAGTTTATTCTTGAAACTAAAATTTGCAACACTGTTTTGTCTTTTGGTTGAAATGAAAATCGCAACGAGAGAATGACTGTCGCAACGAGAGAAATGAAAATCGCAACGAGAGAATCGCAACGCGAAATGAAAATCGCAATGCGATTTTGGTTTCGCGTTGCGATTCTCTCGTTGCGATTTTCATTTCGCGTTGCGATTTTCATTTCTCTCGTTGCAGATAGTCATTTTCACGTTGCGATTTTCATTTATCTCGTTGCGACTCTTCTGCAAATTGAAACTTGAATGGATTGCATTACTTCAACCAAAAGACAGAACAAAGACAAAGACAAATACTAACTTGAAAATCGCAACGAGAGAATAGCAACGCGAAATGAAAATCGCAACGAGAGAATCGTAACGCGAAATGAAATCTAAGTGAAATGGTTAATCTATTATTGAAATGACCAGTAAACATATCATCAGTTTCAATATAAAAAACCTACAATAATGCAAAAATTTCAAAATAAAAATAATTAAAAAAACTAACCCTCGGAGGTTGATTTTCCATTTCTGAATATTGTGAGGGATTTCTGACCGTGAATGGTTGTGAGGGATTTCGCCGGAGATGGGGACGGAAATCTTCGGAGATGGGGACGGATTTCGCCGTAGAGAGTGAGAGATGGAGATGGGACTGAGTTGTGATTTTAGGTTTTAGGTTATGAGTTGCGATTACGGGATTTTGTCTTAATATTCGTTTTTGTAATTTGAAAATAAAATACGCGTAGCGATTATAATGGCGCTTTAAAAATCGCGTTGCGATTTACGGATACGCGTTGCGATTTACTGATTATCGTTGCGATTTACGGATACGCGTTGCGATATACGGATACGCATTGCGATTTACGGATACGCGTTGCGATTTACGGATACACGTTGCGATTTACGGATACGCGTTGCGATTTATGTGTTCGCGTTGCGATTTTCATATTCGCGTTGCGATTCTTGAAAATCGCAATGCGAATTTGTACTATCGCATTGCGATTGTCAAGAATCGCGTCGCGATTTTGGAAACTGATTTGCGATTCTAGGGATCGCGTTGAGATTTTTATTTCGCGTTGCGATTTTGTTGGTTATTTTGGCAAATCCAAAAAAAGTTGGTTAAAATCGTATATTATAAGGCATTTTTGGTCACTGAGGCGATTTTCTCTTTTTTATTTTGTTTCGTCACCCGCCATTAAAATTTTAACGGGACTGTTGTTGTAGGTTGACACCTTTTATGGTTAAATTACATCATTCATCACTCAACTATCTTCTCACTCTTATTTTGGTCATTGAAGTTTAATTTTTTTAATTTAATTACTTAACTTGCAAGTTAATCCTAATTTAATCATTCTAACTTTCAAATTTAATTTTTTTTTAATTATATATGAAAATAATAATAAAAATTTCATGTTACAAAATTATTAATAAAATAAATTAAAAGCAATTTAAAAGTTGAGTAGTTAAATTGAAATATTTTAAATATTAGTGACCGAAATAAGAGTGAGAAGAAACTGAGTGATGAATGATGTAATTTACTCACAAAATGCCATGTACAACAATTATGTTGTTTTTTAACGGTAGGTACTAAAATTAAACCTAAACTAAGTATTAGTTATGATTTTGAAAAAATAAAGTTTAATACTAAAATAAAATAAAAGTAATAGTTTAGGTATTAAATATTACTTTTTTAAAAAATAGGAATTAAACATTAGGTATGATATTATTTTTCCATCTTATTCAAAAGAATGACATTCTTCCAATTTCTCACAATCATTTAAAAGAATCACATTCTTAGAAACTGATTCCAAAAGGAGCCTAACAATCACTGGAAAGTGAGCATATTGTCCCTAAAAGCTGTTATAAAAAAGGGAGTTGAGAGGGATTCTGGTTAGAAAACTAAGAACAGAATAGCATAAAAAGCAAAGCTGCATCGCAATTAACAATCTCTCTGCGGAAATAATATATTCCACATTCCTTTGCATTAAACAAACAAACCTCTAATCCAATAAGTTCAGCAAAATTTTTAAAAATCCAAAAAAAGAAGTGAAAAACTCTTCCCCATCGGTCATGCGAATCAAAAGCTTACTTTCTGCCGTTCACCACCCTCTTCATGTTCAACCTGGTAAATGCAAATACAATACAAAAGGCCTTGGAACACATTCTGGAAAGATGTTCCGGATCACCCGTGATAGTACATGCTCAAAATGAACGTCATTTACTAGAAGGGGAAGTCCATAAAAGGAGACACCAAATGAAGCCTTATTTCAAAACAGGTGGCAGAGATATGTGTGTAAAATAAGTATCACAAGCTACAGAATTCAATGGTAATTTGATAACTGAGATCGTCAATCATTACTAGCCATGAACAAAAATTACTTGCACTGCACTCATATCTGTCTGATCCCAAGTGCACCGGAAATCAACACAATGTTTCTTTCCAGATGTGACAAACGACCTAATATTACTTGACATCAAAGAATGCCATATAAATCTTTTTGCACAGTGCTTACAAGAAAATTCCCAAGCTACATATAGATAGAATCACCATTATTTAAAAAGAAAAAAGGGGGGGGGATTTTCACTTAATTGATTAAATGATGTTGGACTATCACACGAACAAAACACTGTAAAAAACATGGATATTTAAATATAAAAATGAAAGAATACCTATATGATTGCAGGAAACAGAGTTGGAAATAAACAAGGATTCTTACCTCAACATGGATCCTTGGTTTCTTTTTCAACTTTTTACCAAACTCATCTTTCTCAGACTTTTCATGGGCAGATTTAGACTTACTTCTCACTCTCTTTTCTTCAATTGCATCATCTTCTTCTTCATCATCATCATCAACTAACTCATCTGTATAAAAATCTCAACCTTAGAAGAAATGAATATGTAGAATTTCTTATTCAGACACATGGTATGCAATTGGTGTGATAATATTATCACAAAAAAGTAGCTCATACCATTTCCAAAGACAATAGCTAAGATAGGAAAAAGGCAAACATGGTGTATACATGCATTTTTAACATTATGCATGCACATTGCATTATATCACATCAAGTACCGAGAACACAGACAAGAGCCATACCATTACGGATGTGATAATCCTTCATACCCAAATCTTCTATGTCATCTTCCTCTTCAATTTCAAAGTTGCTGTCAACGTATTCGACTTCAGATTCCTGCTTAATTCCAGAAAACAAGCAATAAATATAAGAATATGTAGCAATAACACAAACCTCTTCATTTTCATCCTCAGCCAGCAGTTCATCTGTGTCAAGAGTTTGGAGGAATTTATTGAAGGGGAGGTTGTATATGCCATCATAAATTCTATTTTCAAGCCTTGCAAGCAACTCTTTCTCAATTGCCTGTAGAGGTATTAGTTAAAACCAATTTGGAGATGCTAAAACTTCAGGATAAGCAATTAAGCAGATTATAACCTTATCCAGAACTGCAGCCTTTTCAGCCTTTTACTCCCTTCTAGCCTCTCTCTTCTTCTCCTTTCTAGGTGTAGTCATTATCTTCTCCCTATGGGAAATAATAAAAGTGATAAACATTTAATAGTGATAAAAAGAAATCCAGCACAAACAAATAAATGTCAATTAAAAATAAGTTTTGGTATTAAGGCCAAAATAGCCACTGTTAACTACATCATCCACTAGAGTTGAACTTGGCCATTTTACTTCAATGTCATTAAATCTTGCCATTATACTTCCAAGTAGTTGATTTTTTAACAAAAAAAATGACAGAACCAATGAAAATCGGTCATTTACATTAAGGGGTTATCCAATTCCGTTTTTTCTCCAAAAACCTAAGAAAGTAATAGAATTGTAGCAAAGCTATATATTGAACCATGGTATAGTGGCAAAATTGGCCGTAATCACTTAAATTTTTAAGAAAGGTACAACACTCCCACTACAACCCACAAAGTTCAGCCCTATGCAAAGTAGAGAAAACAAATAAACAATATATGATGAATGGAAATGAAGCTTATAGCAAGCACCTTGGGTAAATTCCTAGGAAATAAAGTTTTATTCGATAACTTTCATCTACTAAATTCTAGACAAACATCAAAACCAAACAAATAAATAGAAGTGAAAGAAGGGAACTTTGTTTTCAAGGCAAGTTTCCTCGTGCGGATTCGCATCTGGGTCATTTTTGTGAGACGCTGCTTTATTTTGTGCACAAGGAGCTTAGGCCAGTGCATCTTAATGACAAGAGAGACCAAAAAAAAGCAGGTTAAGCAACAGCAAAGCAAAGTTAAGAGAAGAATATTAGGCAAAAAGGCATCAAAGATCCCTGTACTTTTGAAAAAAAAATTAATGTGGCCCATGTATTATTTTCTCTCTCAATATGATCCTCCAACTCAGGAAAAAAATTTAATGTGACCCTTTGACCAATGTTTTTCGTCGTTGACTGTTATAATATTGACGTGCTAGTTTACGATACTGACGTGACATTCTACGGTGCTGACATAGTAGTCAATATATCATGTTTGAATTATCAATTTAATCAATTTGTCATGTCATCTGCCACGTTAATCAGACATCCTGAACTACCATGCCAGCATTATGAACTTCCATGTCAACACCATAAATTGTCACATCAATATCCTCTCCTGTTTATCATCCTCCACACCTCTGCCTCCTCCTGCTGCACCTCGTCTGCCTGAACAACGTCGAGGCTTGGTTCGGTGACCTTCGGAATGTTCACTTCTCTTGGAATCAACTTCCTTTCGCATATAGTCGGTCTCCTCCCGTCGTACTTAAAATCGCTGTTTTTTTTTCATGGAAATGGCCTATTGGGACCACTCCTGGTGGCATGGAGAGCCATGCCTATACATTGCACACGGCTTTAGCTCGGCGAGGACATCATGTTCATGTATTTACGTCTCCTCTGGTTAATAATAGCAGCGATCAACCAGAGTCCCGGACTTCATCTTCTAATTACCCTAGAATTCATTGCCATGAAGGTGAAGTTGGTAAGTGGAGACGCAACAAAGCTTGGGAGCTCTTCGATGAAGAGAACCTGCACGAACCGTTCGATGTCATCCATTTGGAAAGCGTGGCGCGTCCTCATCGGTTGGCTCGTAACCTCAAGAACCTTTCTGTCTCGTTGCACGGTATAGCCCTCGAGAGCTTACAATCGAATATCTACCAAGACTTAACTAGGAATCCCCACGAACCAATGTCCCCTGCTTTCAACGATAGTTTATACGGAGTCGTCTCGAAAGTGCTTAACGAAATAAGATTCTTCCACGACTATAATCACCATGTTGCAATCAGTGATAGTTGTGGGGAGATGTTGAGGGATGTGTATCAGATCCCGAGGAGACGAGTCCATGTCATCCTCAACGGTGTCGATGAAAACGTCTTTCTAAACGACTGATCGGTAGGCCTCGAGTTCAGGTCTAAGCTCTGTGTTTCCGTAAATGGTAGTTTGATGCTCGGAGTGGCCGGAAGATTGGTAAAGGACAAAGAGCATCCTCAGCTTTACAAAGCCTTCTCCAAGCTCATAGCAAAGCACCATCATGTGTATTTGATTGTGGTGGGGACCGGACCGTGGGAGAACCGATACAAGGAATTAGGCCCTCGCATACGAGTTCTCGGTTCTATGAGCTCATTCGAATTGACCGCATTTTACAATGCGATCGATGTTTTCGTGAACCCGACGCTGAGGCCTCAAGGGTTGGATCTGACGCCGATGGAAGCGATGATGAGCGGGAAAGCAGTGGTTGCATCGAGGTTCCCTAGCATCAAAGATAGCATCATTGTTGACGATGAGTTCGGGTTCATGTTTTCACCTAACGTCGAGTCATTGTTGGAAGCGTCGGAGGAGGTGGTGCGAGAAGGACCGAAGAGGCTAGCACGAAGGAAAAGGACTCACAAGAATATGCAGCTTCCATGTTCACAGCAAGCAAGATGGCATTGGCATATGAAAGATTGTTAGACTTGTTACTTCGATAAATTCATTACTTTCAGCCTTAGCTGAATTTTTTTTTTTCATTTTCACCCAAAAAAGAAAGATCATAAAGACAATCCATGAACTTAATCTATGAACAAGCTTACTCAACAATTAATGGTAATTTCTTTGTTTTGGCCAAATTTAAATTCAATTTAAGTCGATAAAAAAATAAGATTTTTTTTCTTATATATATCTTTTAAAAAATATTAACAAATATGATACTTGTTAAGATTAAATACCGATATGACACAACGACCAAGGGAGTCTCTCCTTACAAAGCTTTCTGTTGAAAATTTCTCAAATTTCACTCCTTCCAAACATGATAAATAAAAGAATTCCAAGCAATTTGCAAAATAATAATAAAGATTTACCCTTAAGACGAGCATCCGCTCACGCAAGCTCTCAGCCCCAGTTCCTCGTATCACGCTACAAATGCAAGCTTGAAGAACACATGACCATACAATTTTGGAAAAACAGCACCCAAAAGAATATGGTCCCTGAACTCTGACTCTCGCCTACAAAGGACACCATCAACGTCAACACTAACCAAAGGAAAGTATCATGTCTTTTGCAGGCAATTTGTTTAAAATTGTCATCCAAGAGATAGTAGAATGCTTAGGGATATGGAAAGAATGCCATATCAACTTGTGCCACCCCATCTTGTCCCTTCTAGATCGAACAACATCTTAGACCTTGGTGGGAGTGAGTTTAGAATCCGAGAAGTCCAAACTCCCTACTGTAGCCCTCAACTTCAATAGCCTTCTCTAAATTCAACAGGTCGAAGCTTTCACTCTCGCCTGCCAAAAGGTGGAGTCCTTAAAAACATATTCATGGAACCAAGCAATCCATAAGGAACCTTCCCTAGTTAGATTTAATGAGCACAATCAAACAAATCTTATTTTATGTCATCAAATCTTTAAGGCCTAATCCCCTTTCAAATTTTGGGCAACAAATGAAGTTGACATGAGTCCCTTTTATAGTTTCATTCGTATTCCTCCAGAAAAAACATAAGCACAACAAATTGATACGGTTAATAACAACTTTAGGCAAAAACAACTGTCTTCTCCAAAAATTCTGAATATTGAAGATTACAACATGAATAAGCTAAACTTTTCCCGTATAGGACAGGCGACAGCCTATGTCTGGAATCTTGCCTCAGTCTTGTCCACAAAAGGCTTAAAGTCTTTGACAGTAAGCCTTCTCGTAATTAAAGAAATCCTAAAATACTGAACTGAACTGATGGTCTCCCCATTTAATACCAACCTTATCCACAATCATCCGCAACTCATCTCTTGGAATATCAGAGGAGAAATTCTCACTCTTATCAGCATTGAATTTCATCCCCGAGTATTGGTAAAATTTGTTCAGCCATTGAAATCCATCTTGATCGGTGGAAAGAGGGTTGAAAAAAAGCTAAGGGATTAATATCTTAACTGGTATGATTTTCTTTTCTTTTTTCTTATATTTAAATTTATTTAGAGGATTATCATCCTCATTGATTTTGTAAAACCTATTTTTTTTGGGGGGGGGGGGAATTATATTTTCTGATTCATCATTCTTTGAATTGAATAATGTTAAAATTCTGCGAGTCAAATTCCGAGGTAAGCCAAACAGCCATCTCGTTTTTCTTTCCCATCTCTATTTTGCCCCTTAATTTTTGTATTTTGTTTAACAAAAACATAGAGCCAATTCAATGTTTTTAATTTGGTATAGAAAACATTATTTGAGGTTGCCTTGAACATGTTGCATGAATATTGATTCCCTTTGTTTCCATTGGTGACTCATTTATTCTACTCATAAGAAATGTCAGTTCTTGTGACCCTTTGTTGGAAGATGCCTCATATGAACGTGAAGCTCCATGCATGAGGAAGTTCTAGAAGTGTTCTAGAAGCTAGTCTGTTAGTCTAGTAGTTAGTTTTGAATTCTCAACAACTCCTTAACAACTAGGTAGTTAGGCAGTTTCTTTAGTAGTTGAGTCATTGTAATTGAGCTATATAAAAACAATAATATAGAGTAAGTTGAAGTAATGAAGTAAAGCATAAGTTTCTTACATCATTTCTTGAATCTTTCTGCAATATTCAATATGGTATCATTCTCTTTCGATCCTGGAGTATTTTTCTAGCTACGATGACGTTGTTTGGTGATTCTTCCTCCTCGTAAGCCTGGATGTTTACCGATAAACATGTAAATGTGGTGTTTGATGAGATGAACTTCCTCTTATGGAAGCAGCAAGTTCTTCTTACAGTTTGCAGTCATCGTTTTGAACGGTTGCTAAATGGTTCCATGACAGTTCTGTCAGAGACGGTTGTTGATGAGCATGGTGAAACGGTTGCTAATGAAGCTTATGAAGATTTTGTCGCATAAGACAATGCTCTTGCGTCCTGGTTTTTATCCACGATCAATGCTCCGTTATTACCACAGTTCGTTGGTGTCGAGTCAGTCACTGCTATTTGGAATACAGTTTTGCAGTCTTTTACAAACCGATCAACAACTACGGTTATGAATTTCCATTACAAACTTCAATCAATAAAGAAAGGTGATGATTCTGTACGGGTTTATCTCACCCGTGTTAAAGAAATCTGCGACGCTCTTGCTTCTTGTGGAAGTCCGGTGTCTCAGGTTGAACATATTGTGAGTATTCTTAAAGGATTATCGCGGGAGTATCAACCGTTCATCGCAGTGATCACTACTATGCGTGAAACTCTTTCGTTGGATAAGGTCTACTCTATGCTTGTTGATGCTGAAACACAGACTGCTAGGTTTGACTCTCAGCTTGAGAATCTGCCAATGAGTGTTCATGTTGCTCAAGGAAGGTCGTTGGATGGATCGAATGATTCAATTCGTGGTGGTCGATATGGAGGACGTGATCGAGGTTGTGCTCATCTTCAGTGTCAGTTGTGTGGTAAGAATGGTCATTCTGTTTATCGATATTGATATCGGTTTGATCGTGATTTTCCTGGTGTCAATGCATCTTCTGGTTCGACACGATCTCGGGATGAATCTGGTACGGCTAATTATGCCACATTTGATTCGTCGGGGTGTTCTTGTTGCAGTGCTAAGCCTGGTATGTCTTCTTCTAGTCAGCCTCAAGCACATGTGGCTTCGGGTGAGCATTGGGTTGTTGATTCAGGGGCAACCCATCATGTAACTCCAGATGGCTCCAAGGTGCTTCATTCCACTGATTTTACTAGTCTAGGTAATCTCCTAGTAGGTAATGATGTATCATTAGGGGTGAACTCGATTG